AACTGGACGCGTTCCCCAAGTCGCCGGCCCAACGGGCCAGAGGCGTGCTAAGGTCTCCGGTAACTGGTTAACAATATCTCTAGTTCGCGCGCGCGGGGCGGCCCCTGGGGGTCCCCGGACGAAAAGTACCCCGGGCGATCCCCGACCGACCTCCGAGGGATCCCCGGGAGAAGCGCTCAAGGAGCGCACCAACAGGGCTCCGAGACGCCCCCGAAACCCTCAAGACGGGTCCAGATGCCCCCAAGAAGCTCCCAAGATGGCACACAAGGGATCCGAGATGCCACAAGATCGCTCCAAGACGCCCAAGATGGCCCCCAGACGCCCCAAGAGGCCTCCAAGAGCACTCCCAAAAGGGCCCCAGGAGGCAACATTCATTGCTTTTCCTTAGGTTTTTGACAGATTTTGGAGCTTCCACCTTTTCGGCGCCCCGACGCCCCAAGACGGCCCAAGAGGCCCCCAAGATCGCCCCAAGAGGGCCCAAGAGGCCCCCAAGAGGGCCCCAAGATGGCCCAAGAGGGCTCGAAGACGGCCCAAGAAGCCTCCAAGACGGTCCAAGAGAGCCCCAAGAACGCCCCCAAAGGGGCCCCAGAGTGGGAACACGAAACAACATTTCGAGCCCTCGGCCCTAAGAAGCCCCCGCGAGGCCCCAAGAGGCCCCTAGGAGGCCCCAAGAGGCCCCCGCGAAGCCTTCAGGAGGCCCCCAAGAGTCCCCCAAGCGGCCCCAGGAGACCCCCCAAACGCCCCCCCAAGCACGCAAGCAAGTGCCAGCAATGCTACAAGATGGGCCGGCGGAGTGAGCGAAGCGATTGTATATAAGATTTGTCATGAGACGAGTCACCCATGCAGGTGTTATTTCATCCTCCTCGAGCTTCCTTATCCTCCTCTGTCCTCACTCCTTCTCGCTCCTCCCTTCTCCCCCCCATCCCTTCTCGCACCTCCTCTCCATGTTTGTCGCTCTTCGACCCCGTCGCGAGCTCGCAGCTGCGCGCGATAGACTCGCTCCCTCCTGGAAATCGCACAGACGATCGCGCAGCCTAGCCGAAACGCTCACTCAGCCGAGTTGGGCCACGCGCTACGCGAGCAGATCGAGCAGGCAAAGTGCACAGAGAGACGATCTGTCAGAGCGAGAGTGGATGAGGGGTGGCCAGTGAATGGAGGAGGGACAAAGGGGGATGGGAGGAACAATGGGAGCGGGGGAAGGGAGGAGGGGGAACAGGTGGCGCATTACACATCATATTACTTGCGAATCTGGCCTCCTGCTCGACTGCGAAATCCCACGAAGCCGTGGTAGTCGCCCGCTTGGGAATCAGACAACTGGGAATCTGGCTTCTGGGATTACACGGGCTAAACTAACAATGCTCGACTGCGAAATGCTACCCCGCAGCTACTCGCCGTCATCGTCATCCTCCTTCATCGCCTCGAACCATTCCTTGAGGGCCCCCATCAGCGGCCCGCGCGCCAAAACGAGCTGCGTCCTTCTTCGCGAACTTGTTGGCCATCCTCTCTTTCTTCTCGGCATGGTACGCTTTGCTTTGGACCCTCTTGCGGTGAGTATCCAACTCGTCCGCGTCGTGCCAGTCGAAGTCGAGGTAGTCGAGGACCCAGGGGAACTTCGCGGCGCCGAGGGCCACGGGCCCCTCGGAAGGAGGGCGCAGGGGAAGGGGGGAGGAGGAGGGGGAGGAGGAGGAGGAGGAGGAGGAGGAGGAGGAGGAGGAGGGGGGGGAGGAGGAGGAGGAGGAGGAGGAGGAGGAGGGGGAGGAGGAGGAGGATGGGGGAGGAGGAAGACGAGGAGGGAGGGCGAGCAGGTAGCGGGGAGGAAGGAGGAGACGGAGAAGGCGGGGGGGAAGGAGGAGCGAGGAGGGGGGGGAGGGGGGGGAACAGGAGGAAGGAGGAATGAGAAAGGAGGAGGGAGGTGCGAGGATGAGAAGGATCATCAGGATGGCGGTGTCCTTCTCGGGCTTCGCCTTGCCATCCTTCCGCGTCTCGGACTTCTTCTTCGTCGGCTTCATCAGCTTCGCGGGCTTGACGTGATCGCTGCTCGGCTTCTCCTCGCCAGCCGAGGCCGCCATCTTGACCTCGTCGCCCCTGCGCGGCTTCGGCTTGGCTGCGTGCCTCTTCCTCTTCCCCTTGTGGAACTCGGTGGGGGTGATCACTCGAGAGTGATCGCCTGTTGTCCGAGGTAGCTGACCCACGCCGCCGTAGTCAACAGCGGATCCTGGTGGGGCACCTTTCCTGTCCATGGCGCAGCGGAACTTCTCGTGGCCCCGCAGCTCGAACGTGCACTGGAGGCTCCTCTTGGGACTGGGCGTTGCGGGCCTCTCCACGCGCATGGGCGACCGCTGCTCCGCGAACTCCTCGGGCTCCTCGGGCTCCTCGGACCCCCCGTCCTCGCCCTCGTCCTCATCGTTGCTCGTGCCAGGCTCCTCGGCAGCGCAGCCAGCCGACTAGGCAGGCTTGGAAGGGGGCGCTTTCGTGGGCGATTTGCCCACGACCATCTTGTCGGCCAAGCACTGGGGACAACCGTGCTTCGCTGGAAAGGAGTCGTTGTTCCTCTTCTTCGCGAGCAGGGCTGAAAACATGCATCGTAGATTCTTCGCCGCCTGCTCGATGTCGCTGAGGCTCCACTCCATGTTGTACTTATTGAGGAAGGCTCCAAGTTGCTGGATCAAGCGTTCCTGCTCCGGGGTCCTGCCGCCGCTCGAGTCGAGGATGTCTGATATGATATTCTGGGTGTTCTTGATGGCCTCCCACGGGGAAGTAGAACCCGAAGCCGTTACCTGGCATTTCCACCGCACTTTCGGTTTGCAGGATGCGAGCGGCAGGTTCTTCCCCAGGAGACACATCATAATCCCATCGCCCAAATCGACACCAGCTGCGCGGGCTCTCGGCGGCATGGCGGAGGCTGGCCACTGACAGCAAAGCACTTGGATGTGCACACGGCTGCATACTTGTTCCGGTGACGCCGATGGTGGTGCTGAGTATCATGACGATAGCGGGCACGACGATGGCGACGACGATGCCAATGGTGATGGCGACGATGATGGTTACGATGATGGTGACGATGATGGGGGCGGTAACGCGATCAGGTTAGTAATGCAAGTGTCGTTGCTGGTAGTGGGGAATGCGTTGTCAACCGTTCTGTGCGCGATGACGATGACGGACATGACAAATATGCTGATTGTGGCGATGGTGATAATGATAGTGATGACGTCTCCTGGCACCTATGTGTGTATATATATATATATTCAACCGTAAGTTTCAAACGACACCAGCGCTCGTGCATTGACGACACCCAAGAGGGTCAGCTCGAGCGGACTCAATATGCTCGAACTGGCTGTGCGATGCCAATCATATCTACATGACGCTCGCACTAGAGGTAAGCGACAGCTCACTTCTCTTACTGCTCGATCCTTGCTTCCCCACCCCCTCACTCCTCTGCGATCCGCCCTCCGTCCCCCTCTCATATACCCTCTGCCGTTCTCTCTACCTCTTCCCCCTGCCCCGCTCTCCCTCCATCTTGTTTTATTCTGCAAGCCCCTCCACCGCAAAGCCCGTCCCAAACGTGGGCTGCGCTGGCTGCTTAGATTGCTCGACCTAGATTGCAACACTTAGGCTGCGCGCCTTCTCACTTGGCGACGCTGCCCCCCCCTCCTCAGCGATGGGCGGATCCTGAGGCAAGAAAGGCTTCACGGCGGGCTTGAACGCGTTCCGCTCGATTTGAAGTTCTCCCAAACGATGGACACAGTCAGAAACGATGCTGATCGATGGCTCCACATGCGTGGACGAGTCGAGGCAAGCGAGTCGAAGCTGGAAATCCTCAAGGTCCGCCAACAACGCTTCTGAGAAACGGTGTGCTGGGATACTTGCCACCCACGATGACGTGATTGTCTGCATGTTGTTGATGGTTCCTTTCATGCTGTTCCACTCCTCGACGATATGATATGGCACGGTCGTCGGCGATTCAATCACTTCAATCGCCTCTCCATCCAACTCCGACATGTGAGCATCGCCTGCTGCCACAGCTGAGCCACGTTCATCCCCACGAGGAATCAGCACACCATCGCTCGAGAGACTGTGTGCGCGCCCCTGAAAAGCTCTCCAAGTGTGAGAGTCGCCCGAACCAGAAGCAGGCATCTGCTCAAACACGCTATCCTAGCTTGGAGCCGAAACGCCTATGGGACCATGACAAGAGGCAAAGGCTCGATGATGAGTTTGCCCAACCTCGCGGGGTTAGGGGCGCAAGTTCGCCGACCCTCGTGGGGCCATCTGGCACGTGAACACCGTTGGCTGTAAAACCGTGTGCCAGAAGCATCTTGTTACCACGGCCGAGGGTGCCAGTTATATACGCAAGCCCCCGAAATTGCATGTAAACTATCAATACAACAACACACCACCCTCGAAACCATCTTTCCGCCATGCACCCCGAGACAATGTAGGACGTTCGGCCTTTCACTCTGTTTTGTACACATACTAATATTCCCTTACGTGGGCCACGAATGACATGCCAATATGTGTAATTCCCTAGCGAATGTGCAATTTATGTTTTAACATGTGGATATCTGTTGATTGCGTGTCCCGACTCAAATTGCTAAGTGGATCTATTTTTTTAAATATGGATGGGCGTCCGGGGACCCTCCAAGGTCCGGAGCCTCTCGGTCTGGACCCCCCTGGTCTGGACCCTCCCCCCAATCCGGACCACCCCTGGTCTGGACCCGAGCCATCCTTCGGCTCCTCCTCCTCCTCCTCCTCCTCCTCCTCCTCCTCCTCCTCCTCCTCCTCCTCCTCCTCCCCCCTCCCCCCTCCCTCCTCCCTCCTCCCTCCTCTCTCCTCCCTCCTCCCCTCCTCCCTCCTCCCTCCTCCTCCTCCTCCTCCTCCTCCTCCCCTCCTCCTCCTCCTCCTCTCCTCCACCTCTCCCTCCTCCTCCTCCTCCTCCTCCTCCTCCTCCTCCTCCTTCTCCTGTCCTCCTCCACAGCCCCGCGGCGCGCGCGCGCGAACGCCGCCTCGGCCGCGCGGCCCGCGAACGACTCCTGGGCTGGCCGCGCCCAGCCGGCCGCAGCCGCGGCGGGCGGCGCCGACAGGTCGTCCTACGGGGCAAGAAATGGCTTGCCACTTCTACCTTCCTACCCATCGGTCGGAAGAAGTAGGTAGAATCATCACATAGGAAGGCGTTGAAAAAAGATTGGGTGTCCGCCCGCCCCCTAAATAGAACGGAAAAGGTGAAGCCACTCGATCCTCAAAGTAGGTAGGAAGGCGCTTATAGTAGATTGGAATCTGGGACTCCAGAAATACCTCTTTTCAACGACCGATGGGTATGGGCCTGCACCCTAGACCCCCTGCGAAGCTGCAAGGTCTTGGGGAGAGGTCGTCCCCAGAAAGTACACGCATGTGCGACGCACGACGACGACTGACGAAGACGACGACTAACGACGACGGAAGGAGGACCGATCATCGACCTGTTTTGGTGGACCTGGCACTTGTGAGTCCACCAGAAGCGCCGACAAGGAAGATCACGGCGGTTGTCTTTTTCGCGATCCGGTGGTCTGGGGGGCCCACAAGGGCCGCCGGAGGTCAGCCTGGAGCGGAAAGCTGGCCCCGGGGAAGGGGTCGACAACTCCAGGGGCCTACGAATAAAAGTGTCAACCCCAAATCTCCGAGGACATGACTTTTCAATCCGAGCGTCTTCTGTTCGACTTCTGCCTCTGGTGCCCGTCATCGGGCCCAGGATTGTAGAACATGGATCTGGGGCGGCACGCCACCCCTGGGGAACGGGTCGAGACCTCTGGGGCTGCGCATTGAAAACGACATACAGTAGGAGCTTGACCATCAGAAACCTCCCGCAAGAAGCCCAACCCTGAGACCCCAGGGCGTCCATTGATTTTTGGTGGGGGAGCGTCGCATTTTCCATAGCAGTACCACCGAAACCCAAGAAACCCAGGGCAGCCTGGAGGCAAGCAGGGTGCTTCTCGGCATGGGTTTCCCCTGTATCGTCGGATGTCTGGGTAGGCTTGTGCGCGGGCAGAAGCTCTCAGCGTCGGCGCTGTTTTGCAGGGGCGAGAAGAGCGGGGGCTGCGCGAGGGTCTGCATGGGCCTTCGGGGGCCCCAAATCTGGCGAACCTCTCCCGAATAGCCGACGGCAGCAGCTCAATCGGCCGATCACTTGGCCCGCGCCGATGTGTACGTGTATGTGTATAACTGTATGCATGTATGTATGTATGTATGTATGTATGTGTGTATGTATGTATGTATGTATGTATGTATGTATGTATGTGTGTGTGTATGTATGTATGTATGTATGTATGTATGTATGTATGTATGTATGTATGTATGTATGTAGATATGTATGTGTGTATGTATGTATGTATGTATGTATGTATGAATGCATGCATGCATGCATGCATGCATGCATGCATGCATGTATGTATGTATGTATGTATGTATGTATGTATGTAACTATGTATGTACATAAATCCGCCGACCCCAGAGGCGTGTGCGATATCCGTTTGAGCTGGATACCACACCCGACAATTTCTCGCCCGAAATCTCGTCCCAAACCATACTCGACCAACACCCCCCTCCATGCGCCGGCACCCACCCCACCATTTTTCGCCCAAAACCGACCGATACCCCCGACCACGCCCCGGCATCCCCACCCCATGGAGCCTCTGTTTTTGGGGCCCCCCACGCCACCATTTCTCGCCCAAAACCGACCGATACTCTCACCACGCCCCGGCATCCCCACTCCATGGAGCCTCTGTTCTTGGGGCCCCCCACCCCACCATTTGTCGCTCAAAACCGACCGATACACCCCACCACGCCCCGGCATCCCCACCCCATGGAGCCTCCCCCCCCACCCCACCATTTGTCGCTCAAAACCGACCGATACCCCCACCACGCCCCGGCATCCCCACCCCATGGAGCCTCTGTTCTTGGAGCCCCCCACCCCACCATTATTCGCCCAAAACCGACCGATACCCCCCACCACGCCCGGCATCCCCACCCCATGGACCCTTGTTCTTGGAGCCTCTGTCCCCCCACCCCACCTTTTTTCACCCCAAACCGACCGATACCCTCCACCACGCCCCGGCATCCCCACCCCATGGAGCCTCTGCTCTTCGGACCCCCCCCACCCCCTCATTTTTTTTTTTCGCCCAAAACCGCCGTAACCCCCCACCACGCCCCGGCATCCGCACCCCAAATGGAGCCTCTGTTTTTGGAGCCCCCTCCCCCACTCCACCATTTTTCGCCCAAAACCGACCGATGCCCCCCACCACGCCCCGGCATCCCCACCCCATGGAGCCTCTGTTCTTAGGGCCATCCACCCCACCATTTTTCGTGCAAAACCGACCGATACCCCCCACCACGCCCCGGCATCCCAACCCCATGGAGCCTCTGTTCTTGGGGTCCCCCACCCCACCATTTGTCGCCCAAAACCGACCGATACCCCCCACCACGCCCCGGCATCCCCACCCCATGAAGCTTCTATTCTTGGAGTCCCCCACCCCACCATTTTTCGCCCACAAACCGACCGATACCCCCCACTACGCCCCGGCATCCTCAGCCCATGGAGCCTCTGTTCTTGGAGCCCCCCACCCCATCATTTTTCGCCCAAAACCGATCGATACCCCCCATCACGCCCAGGCATCCCCACCCCATGGAGCTTCTCTTCTTGGAGCCCCCCACCCCACCATTTGTCGCCCAAAATCGACCGATACCCCCCACCACGCCCCGGCATCTCCACCCCATGGAGCCTCTGTTCATGCGGCCCCCCACCCCACCATTTTTCCACCAAAA